AGCGCCCGCGCCCGCCGAGGACGCGCCCGCGCCGCGGCGGTCGACGCGCCGCGCGTCCGCCGCGCCCGCGCCCGCGCGCGCGACGCGGGCCGCTCGCACCCGCGACTCCAACGCGAGCCGGTCGACGAGCCCCCCCAAGCGCACGTCCGGCGCGGGCGAGATCGACGCGAGCAACATCCTCCCGTCCCGGCGCCGCCGCCGCGAATGAGTGAGTGGCTCTAACGTGGCTTCTTACGACTCGGCTTGCGCGGTCTAGACGTCATGGACGTTGACCATGGTGCCCCGCCTCGATGGCGACGATGCCTTTGGAGACAAGTTGGCCCACACCTTGGGGCTCGCGGCCGGCGCGTGCTCCGTGCCGTGTTTCCGAACGGTCAGCGCGAGGCTCAGGAGGCTCTGGATCAGGTAGCACGCCGACCCCGAGACGTACATGACAGAGCCCTGGTCGACAGGTATGCGAGGAGCCATGCCCGTCGTGCATTCGTCGAGCTTCGCCTGGTACAGGAACGAGCCCGCGAAGAAGAGCACGGACCCGAACTGCGTGCAGAAGAGCGACACCTGGATGAGCCCGCGGCCGTCGCGCTCCGTCGCCGCCTTCGTGAGCACGCCCTCGTGGGCGATGGAGATCGCGTTGAGGTAGCTCGCGAGAACGTAGAAGGCGCTGCCGACGACGAACGTCGTCGCGCCCCACTGCGAGAAGACGTGCTCCTCCTTCGCGGTGTCGAGCGTATTTTCGAAGCGAGGCTCGTAGAATATGCTGCCGACTACGAAGAACGCCGAGCCGAGCATGTAGCACATCTCCTCGAAGAAGAGCTTCAGCTGGTCGTACGCGGCCGCGTCGCGGTACGATTCTTGCTCGCTCAAATGCGCGCGGTGCTCGAGTACGCCGACGAACGACGTCGCGCCCATGACGAGCGCGCCGCCGAGGAAGCAGTGCGCGCCGATTTTGGAGCCCCACCAGGGCATCATTTTGAAGAAGCAGAACGACCCGAAGACGAAAGCGAGATTGCAGATGATCGATATCGCGTGGATGGCGTATTCACTTGCATGGCCATGGACATCACGCCGCACCGATTTCGTGCTAAACAGGCGCGCGTAGCGACGCGGGCGGAGCTTGACTTGGCGCATCCCGCTGCTCAGATCGGCGATCAGTGTCAAAAAAAACAGAGGAGGAGGACCGACGCGCCCCGCTCGCGGACACCACGCCCCAAGAAATCGTACCACGCCCCAAGACACCGTCACCCCTAAAGCCTCGCGACACCACGCCCCAAGACACCGCCACCCCTAAAACCTCCAAACAAGCGACGGTACGCAATCTCTAGACGATGGACGAGCAGAAGAACGAAGCTTTGATGGACTGGCAGATCAAGCAACGCGAGTTCGAAGTGAAAAAGGCCCGGGCCAAAGCGCTACAGTTGCGTTTGACGTGTACGATTTGTGGGACGAAACCGAGAACCTTGCTGAACTGTCCGTGCGGAACTACGCAGTACTGCTCGACCGAGTGCCAGCGAATCGACTGGCGCGAGCGCGGGCACCGTAAAGCGTGCAAGAAGATCCGAAACGAGCGCGCGGCGGAGGCGGCGCGGGCGGAGGCGCCGACGCAGCCGCCGGAGGAGGTCGTCTACGGCCCCGCGCCCCGGTCGCACGCCGACGAGGTCCGCGCGCGCATCGCCGCCGAACACGAGGCGGCCCGGGCGCGGCGCGAGGCGAACCCGGAGCCGGAGCCGGCGAAGTCGGAGCGGTGGGGGTCGCGGTGCCCGATCTGCATGGAGGACTGGGACGTGAATGCGCAGGACGTGCTTCGCGTCTGTTGCTGCCGGACGGTCTGCCGATCGTGCGAGGATAAGATCGGCACCGGCGCGTGTCCCCTCTGTCGCTTACCGTGCGCAGAAAACGATGCGGAAAACCTCGCGCGTCTTCGCCGCCATGTGGAGAACGAGGTGCCCGAAGCGATTTGCGGTTTGGGTGACGCGTACAGCGACGGTGCCCTCGGCCTACCCAAATCCGCGAAGAACAGCGTCCTGCCGGCCGTGACAATTTTCGAGAGCTATTGACCGGGAAAAGGTTGAAATTCGTTACTGACGCATTTGGTAGGCGAAGAAGTCCGCAAAGCTATTCAAGCGCGCCGTGGAGCTTGGCAACGTGGACGCGATGTCAAACCTTGCGCACTTGTACGATAACGGAGAGGGCGTCAAGCTGGACAAGAAGAAGGCGGCGCAGCTGTGGCGCATGGCCGCGGATAGGGGCGACGCGTCCGCGCAGCAAAACGTGGCGCTCGTGTACTTCAACGCTGGACGATTCGCGGAGGCCATCCGTTTCTACAAGCGGGCCGCGGAACAAGGGCTTTCCGACGCGCAATACAGCCTCGCCGTCTGCTTCGAACAAGGTAAGGGCACGGAGGTCGACCTCGCCGAAGCCAAACGCTGGTATCGGAAAGGGGTTGATCGCGGAGAGGCACAGTCTCGGAACAACCTCGCGGGCCTATTAGGCGCGGAAGGACGCCATCGCGAGTCCTTCGAGCTCGTCAAACTCAGCGCTCAACAAGGCTACGCTGTATCCGAGACGAATCTCGGCCTCTGCTACGAGTTTGGACGTGGTACCTCCAGAAACCCTGAAGAAGCCAGACGCTGTTATGCGTCTGCCGCGGCCAAGGGCTGCGGGAATGCCGCGGCCGCGCTCGAGCGCATCGACGCGGAGTCGGCCGGCCTCATTCCCCCCCGCGAGACCCCGGCGGCTTATCTAGCGCGGCTTCGTCACCACGCGGAGGACAAGAACGATCCGGAGGCTCTGACAACCTTGGCGGGAGCGTACCGAGCCGGCAAATTCGGCCTCGTGAAATCGACCACGAAGGCCGCGGAGCTGTACGAGCGCGCCGCGGAGCTCGGAGAGGTGCACGCGATGGTGAACCTGGGTATGCTGCTGAGGACGGGAGATGGAGTCAATCAGGACCGGGAGAAGATGTTCCAGCTGTATCGCTCTGCCGCGGACCGCGGCTTCGCTTGGGCGCAATTGAAACTCGGCAGCGAACTGCATCAGGACGGAAAAGATGAGGAAGCTTTTCCGTTCTTGAAACTGTCAGCAGAACAGGGCAATGCCACGGCCGAGTTGTTCGTCGGATATTATCTGTCGGGGTTATGGCCAGGTGTCCCTCAGGACCGCGCAGAAGCTATACGCTGGTTCGAGCGCGCGGCCGCCAAAGGCGACGAGGGTGCCATCCGCGCTCTCGCGAGTGAGCTGGTTCGTACTTAGTAATATCTCGCCCACTCTACGGCCCAGGAGGCCTTGCTCGTAGCGACGAAGTAGCGAGCCACCTTGAGCCCGCGACTGTCAGGGGCGAGGGTCACAGTCGTATATTTTAAAACAGCACCACGGTCCGCTTGTTCCGCCGGTCGTCCTCGGCGAACTTGACGTAGTCGAGGTCCGACACGAGGTCCAGCGGCGGCGTCGGCAGGGGCCGCGGCGCGTGCGCGACGAGCAGGCGGACGTGGTCCGCGGGCAGCGCGGCGGCCGCGTCGTCGTCGGGCGGCGGCGCCGGCAGGGGCGTCTTCGGCGGCGCGAAGCCGAAGAGGCGGAGCTCGTCGTACTGGTCCGCGACGACGTCGCGCATCTGCTCGCGCGTCATCGGCCGCGACGTGCCCAGGGGCGTCGTCCGCGCGAACAGGGGCTCGGGCGTCTTCGGCGGTCCGCCCTTGTGGCCGCCGCGGTGGAAGGCCGCCGCGGCGCCGGCCTCGTTGAGGTCGAGGAGCCTGAGCTCGTCGTGCGCGGCCGCGAGCGTCTCCGCGATGTCGCGCACGGCCATCTTGACCGTCTGGCCGTCGCGCGCGACGAACTCGACGGTCTTCCGCGGGCCCGACGCCGACGGGGGACCCGCCGCGGCCGCCCCGCCGGGCTTCCGCAGGAGGTAGCGGCTCACGGACTCGACGAAGCCGCCCTGGTGCTCGTAGCGGACTCTCGCGTGCGACCGGTCCAGCGAGACGACGTCCGCGGACCGGTACCGCGACCGCTGGCCCTTGGCGCGCTGCTGGAGCCAGCGGACCTCGACCCGGTCGCCGACGGCGACGTCCATCGGCGGCAGGAGCGCCGCGCCGGGCGCGTCGTCGCGGAGGTCCGGCGGCCGGAAGCCGTAGGACCCGTAGCCCGCGTCGCCGAGCTGGCCCGGGCCGCCGTACTCGAGGCGCGCGGCGCCCTCGCGCGCGTCGTCGACGTCGCGGCAGACGTCGCGGACGTCGCAGCGCTCGAGCCGCGGCCGCTGCCGCGCGAGGCCCAACGTCCAGAGGGGCACGGGCCGCCCCAGCACCACGAGGCGCACGAGGTGCTTCGCGCCGAGGCGGCTCAGCTCGTTGCCCTCCACATGCAGCTCCTTGAGCGACGCGTTGCCCGCGACGCCGCCGCCGAGCACCTCCGCGGCCGCGTCGCCGAGGCGCGCGTGCGCGACGCGCAGCGCCACGAGGTTCCGCGCGGCGCCGACGGCGCGCGCAAAGGCCGCGTCGAGCGGCAGGGGCTGCGGCGCGGCGACCTTGCCGTCGCGGCGGTCGCCGCAGGCCTCGAGCCGCGCGAGGTTCCCGTTGGTTTCGAGGAGGCCCGCGAGCGCGCGGAGGCCGCGCGCGTCGAGCGCCGCGTCCCCGCGCTCGACGCGGAGGCTCGCGAGCGCCGGCAGGCGGCCGCAGGCGTCGGCGAGCGCCTCGAGGCCCAGGCCGCCGAGGCGCGGGCAGTCGAATTCGAGTGCCTTGAGGCGACGCGCGCTCCGCGGCGTCGCCTCGGGCCGCGGCGCGCGCGCGGCCTCGAGGACCCGCGCGAGCCGCAGCGCGTCGGAGGACGAAAAGAGCGCCCGGCGCACGACGAGCGTGTCGGCGTCGACGAGCGCCGCCAGGACGTCGTCGCGCGCGGCCGCGACAGGCGCGCCGCGCCGCGCGGCCGACGCCGCGAGCGTCGATACGGACGCGGGCCGCGCGGACCCGAGGGGCGGCAGGTTCCGGCTCCGGGCCGGCGCGTAGCGCAGCGGCGACGCGCCGGCGTCGGCCGCGGCGACGTCGAGGACGACCGTGAAGCCCGGCGCGTGGGCCACGCGCGCGCGGAGCGCCGCGCGCGCGGCGTCGCCGCGGTGCCTGCCCTGGAGCGTGCGCAGGGCCTTGGCGACGGCCCGGTCGCGCTGCGCCGCCGACTCCAGCGCCTTCTCCTCGTCGCTCGGCTCCGGGACGAAGATGGCGTCGAGCTCGTGCTTGCGCCGCGCGAGCGCGCGCTCGCGCTGGTTGTCCGACATGTCCTCGAGCTCGGCCATGAACCGCTGCTTGCGCTCCTTGGCGGCCTCGTCGACGACGGTGCCCGCGACGAGGCCCTCGTCGGCGCGGGCGCCCGTGGCGATGCGCAGCCACTCGCGCATGCGCCGGTAGTCGCGGCGCGCGCGGTAGAGCGACGCGACCGTCGTCGCGGCTTTCGTCCGCCGCCGCGCGCGGTGGCCGCGCCAGCGCCGCTGCACGAGGCGCGCCGCGCGCGCGTCCAGCGTCGCGACGCGCTTGTAGGCGATGGACGCCTCGGACCGCGGGCCGAGCACCCTGGGCGCGACGCGGCCCAGGAGGTCCGCGGCGCCGGGCAGCGCCTTCGCGTCGCGGCCCCTCAACGCCGCGCCGACGGCCGCGAAGGCGCCGACGAAGTCGCGGAGCTCCTCGAGGCACTCGGCCTTGTGCAGGTGGCACTCGTCGACGACCGTTTGCAGCGACAGGTCGACGACGCCGTCGCCGCCGCCCGCGAGCGCCCGCGCGCCCGCGGCCGCCGCGCGGTCGAGGAACGCGACGGCCATCGCGAAGCTCAGCGCGTCCCGGTAGCGGCCGGCCATGGCCACGCAGGGGTGCGGCGACGCGAGCCAGTCCTCGTAGGGCGCCGCGTCGGCGCCGAAGCGGTCGTCGACGCCCTCGACGCGCGGGTCCGCGAGGTAGGAGTGGAGCTCGTAGGCCGCGAAGCCGAAGCCGTCGCCGCCGCCGGCCGCCCACTCGAGCGCGAAGCGCTCGACCTTGTCGTAGGCCGCCAGGGGCATGGCCGGCAGCAGCACGACGGCCCCGGGCTCCGCCGTCGCCCAGGTCGCCAGGAACGGGAACCGCGGCTTCTGGTGTTTCCGGAGCGCGAGCGCGTCCGCGGGCCGCTTCCCCGCGAGCGCGACGTGGCAGAGCGCGTACTCGCCGTCGAAGGCGACGGCGTCGCCGGGGTACATGCCCACGGCGAAGTTCGCCAGGTCCGCGGCGCGCTGGACGTTGCCGAGGCGCAGCTCGACGCCCGCGGCCTCGAGGATGAGCGACGGCCGCCGCGAGCAGAGCGGCACCGCGAGCACCGCTAAGGCGCCCGCGCGCGCGCGCCGCAGGTGGTGCTCGAGCTCCTTGCGCTCCAGGGGGCCGGGCCGCCGCGACGCCCGGCGCAGGGCCCGCCAGCAGGCCGCGTGGGCCCGCATGATGACGAGGTGCACGGGCACCTCGTCGACGCCCTGCGCTATACACTTCTCCGCGGCGTCGGCGGCGCCCGCGTGGTCGCCGAAGAAGAAGCGCAGCCGCGCCGCCGTCATGAGCGCGCGCCGGTCCTTGGGCCGCACGCGCAGCTTCAGCTCCGCCTCGGCGAGCTCGGCCTCGGGCGTCGGCCCGCGCCGTTTCTTCGACGCCTCCTTGACGACGACGGTCTTCGACGGCTTGTACTTGGGGTGCGTGCGCGCGCCCCGGCGGTACTTGTCCCTGATCTTGGACACGGCGCCGCCCATGGTCGTCGAACTCTCACGGGGTACGGGTCCGGACGAGGGCGGGGCAGCCCATTAGCGCCGTGAGGCCGCGGGGTGATGGTGAACACTCAATGAGCAGGCTGGGTGCCGTCGAGCGCGAACCATCAGGAGGAGTCCGCGTGCTCTCGGCCATGTCGCACGGCCGCACCGCTGATTTCTTGGAACATCTTCTTCCAAAGCGCCAGGAAATCGACGCGTACGTCAATCGCCTGGATGATGGCGAAGGCGAATCTGTGCTGGTCCTGGAGCACCTCGGAGAAGGTGACCGCCGCGACCTGCGACAGTACCTGAAAAAGCGCCACGGCAAGGTGCAGCACTGGACCGTCGGCGACAATTTGCACATCGCGCCGCCGCGAGAGGTCGACCTCGCGGGCTTCGTGCGCCCCGAGGAAGCGCGCTCGGACGAGGACGCGGCGCCGCGGCGCCCGGGCCCGCCGGGCCCCCGCCGCGTGCGCGTCGTGTCGTTCAACATCCCCATGGGCGTGTCCTTGGACAGTCATCCCATCAGCTGGCGCCACCGCGTCGACTGCGCGGCGGCGCAGCTCGCGCGGCTCGACTGCTCGGTGGCCGGCCTCCAGGAGGTCCGCGGCGCGAAGCTCTTCGAGTTGCTCCAGCGCATCCCGCGCCTCAAGTGCGCGACGAACCCGCACTGCTTCCAGCCCATCGTCTACGACCCGAGCGTGGCGCGGCCCCTCGAGTGGGGGCGGCTCGTGCTCTCGGACCGGCCGATCTGGAAGTACGAGTGCACCTGCGGCACGCAGTACGCGTCGTCGTGCAAGTGCGGCGAGCGCTGGGCCGAGGGCGCGCCGCGCTGGGTCGGCGGCGCGACGACGTGGTGCGCCTTCGAGCTCGCCGACGCGGACGTCCGCTTCGTCGTCGTCAACAGCCACGTGTCGCAGCAGTCGCCGGAGGTCCGCGCCAGCGTCGAGCGACGGGAGTGTTTTTTCGCGCAAGTCTCGCCGGGAAACGAGAAGACATCCGACCCTGTCACCCTTGGTAGGTCCGCGCGCGGGCCGTCCGCGAGGTCCTCGCGCCGCTCGTGCGGGCCCTCGGCAAGCGCTACGGGCGCCGCGTTCCAGTCATTTGCACGGGCGACTTCAACGCGGCCAAGGACCAGAGCGGCGAGCAGAGCAACAAGACCGCCGACGCGTCCGGCACGGGCGAGCACGCGGCCCTCTGCGGCATCCGCGGCGCCCGCGGCTCGAACAGCGACTACAGGACCGCATTGAGGGAGTGGCTCGCGCGCGAGCGGCGCCGCGTCGCCCGGGGCCAGGTCCGCCTCGCGCGCGGCCGCCCGGGCCGCGGCCGCGGCGACGGCTACGACTCCACCGACGACGAGTTTTACGACTTCGTGTTGGAGCACCCCTGCGTCGACACGTGGGACGTCGCGCGGAAGCCGCCGACGGCGAACGGCTGCTTCGCGTCGACGTGCCATCAGATGAAGGGCCTCCGCGCCGACCAGCAGCACGCGGTCGCGGGAACGCAGGGCGTCGGCGCGAACCGCGTCTACTGCGACGAGAACCACAGCGGCAGGTCCACGAAGAGGCAGAAGTTGACGTACGGCTCGGACCGCTACATCGACTGGATCCTCGTGTCGTCGCCCGCCTTCGTCGAGGGCACGGCCGCGGTCCTCGACGCGGAGGTCCACACGAAGCAGTGCGCGGCCTGGTCCGCTTACAACCACACGCGCTACGGCTCCGACCACTACCCCGTCTCCGTCGACTTCGAGCTCCACCCGAACCAGTAAGTTAGATTTGTGATCGGCGGCGCTGCGGCGACATCGGCCCGTAGCCCGTGTGGCCGCCGTCGCAGTCCCGTTCCATGATCCTGCCCGTCGCGCGGACGCGGAGGAAGCAGATCGGCTTCAGCTCCACGGGGACGTCGCGCAGGAGCCAGAGCATGAAGCTCTCCGAGTGGAGCGTGTTCCCGTGGGACGCCGCGTAGGCGTCGGCCTGGGGGAAGCGCGCCGTCGCCCAGTGCTCCGCGTAGGCGCGGCCGCCGTAGAACGCGCGGTCGTTGAGGCCCTTCGCGGGGTCGTTGAACCAGTGGCCGAAGTTCGGCACGGCCGCGACGGCGCCGTCGCCGAGCCGGACCGGCGTCACGTACTTGACGTCGAGGCGGAAGAGGCCCACGCGCTCGTAGCGGCGGCCCCGGCGCCGCTCGCCCTCGACCATCGCGCCCCACGCGAGCTCGATGCTGTGCCACTGCTTGATCATGTTGTCCATCTGCTGGTGGCTCGGCCAGTCGGCGGGCTTGTACGCGCGGTAGCGCGCGAGGTCGTGGGGCAGCGCGTCCGGCGCGTCGACGACGACGTCCCGCGTCAGCGCAAAGACCTCGTCGACGTGGATCGCGGCGTGGTCCTCGCCGTTCCGCGCCGTCGTGACCGCCGTGACGTTGTACGTGTGCGCGAAGACGTCGCAGCCGGGGTTGTGCGCGAGGATCTCGCTCCGGATCGACGGGAGCACGACGTCCGCGAAGTGTTTCGGTAGACCGAAGAAGAGCAGCGCGCAGTTCGGCGGCGGCGGCGGGAGCGGCGGCGTCGGGAGGGCGGGCATCGGGGCGGCGACCGTCGAGGCGTCGTCGGGTACTCCATCCAGCTCGGGTCGCCTAACATAAACTAATCGCCGTTGTCCCCGATCTCGGCCGACGATGTGAGGCGGCCACCACGCGTCGTCGCAATCGACGGATGCGCCGACCGCCGACGCCGCCGCGAGCATGAAGAGCCGCATCGGTTTTACCGGCGAGGGGAGGCCCCAATCAAGACCTGCGCTACGCAAGTGGTAAAATTTTATCGATCGCTGATATCTCGCTGATTATCTGCCGCAGGGGAGCTCCGGAGTGCAGCAGCAGTGTGAGTACGCCCTCGCGTAAAATAGAGGAAGTGTCGGAACTATTGTTTGAGTTGAGTTTGACCCCCGTGGAGTGCCTCCGCACGCTCGACGGACACTTGAACCAAAGCGTCGTCATGGTCCTGCGATGGCTCGTCGTCGCCCTGGCCGTGGACGGGATGAAGCGGGAGCGGCACGGCGCGGACGTCGCGTCGTGGGTGCGCGACCGCACGCACCACCTCAACGCGAGCGAGGAGGCCGGCGACGAGTCGAGCTTCGCCGGCACCTACGAGTGCCCGGACGCGGGCGAGGCCTACAGCGCGGCCTACCTCTGCACGCGGGCCGTCTTCCTCCAATCCGAGGTCGCGGAGAAGCGCCTCTTCGAGGGCTTGGCGAACATGGAGGGCGCGTCCCACACCATGTGGCGCAAGAACCGGCTCCTGAAGACCGTCGACATGTTCGACTTCTTCATCGAGCACCTCTCCTGGTACGAGCGGCGCTTGGGGGGTGACGCCGAGAGCTTAAGGGCGCGGACGCTGCGGCGGCTCAAAAATTACACCTACCGCGACAGCGCGGCCGTGAACCCGTCGGGCCGCGCGCGCGACGACGTCGTCGTCGTCATGCCCTACTACGCGACGGCCGGCGGCGACAGCGGCCACAGCGCCCTCGAGAGCCGCCGCGCCTACCTCAAGCTCACGCTCGAGTCCCTGAAGCCGACCTTCCCCAAGTACACGGTCTGCGTCGCGACGGAGCCGGACTACGCGTACGTGACGAACGCGACGAACGGCCTCGGCTTCTACGACGTCCTCAAGCGCTTCGACATCCCGAAGCCGTCGCGCCTGGGCTTGGCCACGCTCTACACGGCGCAGCAGGCCCTTCAGCACGACCCGCGGTGGGCCGACTTCAAGTTCGTGTTCTATACGGAGAGCGACCAGATCCTCCACGTCCGCGACGTGAACCAGCTGCTCCACATCGCGGGCAACGGCGCCGTGCCCAACCTCGTGCTCCCGCACCGCGTCATGCCCGCGCCGCGGCGCCGCGACATGGGGCCCGAGCCCCTCGACTGGACGGGCCGCCCGGGCGCGGATAGCTCGAACGCGGACGCCGGCGACGCGCCGAAGAAGCCCGGCAAGGCCAAGGCCCGCCGGAACTTCCGGTGGCCCCTCGAGGAGTTCGCGCGCAACGACGCCAAGACCCTGCACCGCGTCGTCGACGTCACGCGGGCGAGCTGCTGCTTCGACCGCGCGCCGTGCGCGAAGCACCGGAGCCACTGGAAGGACGGCCGCGACCGCGCCGTCGAGCTCTTCCAGATCGCCGACCCGGCGTCGAGCCCGAGCGACGAGGCGCCGGGCGACTCCTTCGCGCTCGTCGCGGGCGAGGGCAACTTCCTCCGCCAGCATTTCCGCGTCTGCGCCGTCAACGCGGACGCGCGCGACTTTTGCCACGACCAGAACCGGACGCGCTCCGCCACACGCGAGGCCAACCTACGCCGCTAAGGAGGTAAACATTCGCCCTACTACTGCCCCTCGGCGCCGCCGAGCCCGTGGGGCGCCGCGCTCCAGAGCTTGACGGACTTGTCGAAGGAGCACGTCGCGAGCTTGTCGCCGGAGACGGCCGCGTCGAGGTTGCGGATGCCCTGCTCGTGCGCGCGGTCGATCTTCGTGAGCAGCTTGCCCGAGGCGAAGTCCCACTGGAAGAGCGCCGGGTCCGCGGAGTTGGACACGAGCGACGCGGCGCCGTCGCCGAGCCAGCCGACGCGCGCGTTCGCGTACTCGTCGGCGCTGTGGCCCGTGAGGACGCGCGCGTGCGCGTTCGTGCCCATGGGGTAGACGACGTGCTTGTGCTGGTCCGTCGCCGCGGCGAGGTACTTGCCGTCGGGCGACGCCGCGAGGTGCAGCGCCTCGAAGCTGACGTGCGTGTCCCACGCGGACCGGTTCTTGGACACGCGCGTCTCCGCGAGCGTGTGCAGGTCGACGTGGCGCATGAAGGGCTCCTCCCGCGCGGCGACGATGAGCGTGTCGCCCGCGAAGCACAGGCTCTCCGGGTTCGTCGGGAGCACGAACGTGTGCTTCTTCGCGAGCTGCCCGCCGTGGGGCGCCGACGCCGCGTAGATGACGACGCTCTTGTCGCGCGCGCACGTCGCGAGGCACCGGCCGTCGCGGCTCCAGCTCAGGCAGACCACGCGCTTCTCGTGGTCCTTGACGCGCCGCGCGCCCGCGACGTCGCAGTGGCCCAGCGGCACGTCCAATAGCCGGAGCGACCCGTCCATGCAGCCCGCGGCGAGCCGCTCGCCGTGCGTCGGCTCCCAGGCCAGGCAGATGGCCGGGCTCCCGCAGGCCGTCGTCCGCGCGGCCGCGGCGGCGTCGCAGGAGCTCCAGTGGCCGGCCGCGTCGCCGTAGAGCCGCACGGCGCCGTCGGCGCCCGCGCAGGCGACGTCCCAGGTGCCCGCCCAGCCGCCCGCGGCCTCGCGGCCCTGGCCGGGCCGGAGCGCGCACGCGACGACGTTCGCGCCCTCGCACGCGCCGAAGATCGACGCGTCGGGGAACCGGCGCAGCGCGTCGCACTCGCCGTGGACGCGCAGCGCCTCGAAGCCGTCGCCCGCGTCGCGCTCCGGCGCGCCGGGCGTGCCCTCGTCGCCGCCGCCGCCGCCGCCGCCGCCGCCGCGGAGGTCCGCGTTCGCGAGCGCGAGCAGGTCGTTCTCGCTCTCGAGCTCCGCGACGCGCTTCTGCAGGCGCAGCACCGCGGCCTCGCTCTCCAGGGCGCGCTGCTTCCACATCGCCGCCTCGCCCTCGTCGACGGCCATCTCGCCCAGCGACCCGAGGAGCTCCGTCATTTTGGTGCGTGTTTTGTAGCCTTACGGAGGACGGTCGAGACGACGCGGAAGACGCGGCTCACCTCGTCACGAGAGCTGCCACAAACTCGGCCCTGCGAGTTGTGTTGGACTAGTTATTGAAGGGGGTGCGCACCCGAAGACCCCGCCCGGAGGCTCAGACGGAGGCGTAGCCGGGGGGTTGGCGTTCCCACACCGGCCCCTTCCTCCGACCCAAAGATCGCGCGTGCACTCGGATCGGAGGTGTGGCGGCGGTACACTCGCGCCAAGCCTGGTACCGACCGCCACGCCGAGAGCACGCCGGGATTGGCGCAAGGCAGTAGCATCCTGAGTCGCCTCATTCAGACGACACTCAACGGACTCTCCGTGGACCGGGGGAGATTGAGAACGAAGGCACTCGCACGCAACGAGCAGGACGTCCGGCTCGACTGGGCCGATTCAACCCCGGGGACCACGAATGGAGGCCGAGGGCACCGCCGAAGAGGACACCCGTAGTCAGCGGGACCGAAGAGAGCAAAGACGCCGACGTCGACGGAACCGCACAGAGCGCCACGCTACGAGGAGACGCTGCAGAATGCAGAGAAACGAATGGACACGGGCACATCGAAGCCCGCACACCGAAGCCACCGAGGGCGCCGACCCCACCAGCCCCCTCCGAGACTCACGTCGAAGGCATCCGAACGAAGCGAGCGCGCGCGGCAGCCCCCCGGGCCCGTGGGCGACGTCGCGCCGATGGCCAAGCCCTGCAAGTCCTCGCGCTCGGCGCCCCGCCGCCCAATCGACGCGCGCAGCGGAGTGCTCCGCCCCGGGCGCCCACCGGAGCCGACGCGGCGGGCCCCACCACCGGCCGCTGCGCGAAACCACCTCTGCGCACCCTGGAGAGCCGCCCCATAAGCTTCGGCGTTATCATTGTCATGTTTATGTTGTGTTGACGGCAATAATGTCATGATGCCGCCCGTAGTAATGGTGGTCCGTCAACTGTGAACCGCTGCCCGTGCGCTGCCCGGACTCATGGGCTCCGGCCCGTCGCTGCCGTCCATCGACGAGGGCAGCGGCAAGGGCGCGAGCGCGGCGGCGGATCCGGTCGTCACGGCTTGGCTCCAGGTGCTGGTCCAGACGCGGGAGCGGCCCCTCTTCAGCGCGAACGGGCGCCAGGGGCTGGATCTCAGCGACACAAAGTTGACGGACGCCGTCGTCGACGCGCTCGTCGAGGGCCCCCACGCGCGGCTCCTGGAGCAGGTCGTCGAGCTCGACTGCAGCTGCAACAGCGAATTGACGACGTTCCCCGACCGGCCGCTGCGGCTCAAGAAGCTCGACGTGGGCTTCTGCCCCCTGGTCGACGGCGCCGTCTTCCGCATCGCGCGCAACTGCCCGGGCCTTGTCGCCCTGGCGCTGACGGACTGCGGCGACATCACGGACGCGGGCGTCGTCGCGGTGGCCCGGGGCTGCCCGTCGCTCAAGGTGCTGAACCTGCGGGGCTGCCGCCACGTCTCCGACGCGGCGTTGGGCGCCCTGGGCCGGGGCTGCGCGGGGCTCGGCGTCCTCACGCTGGCGCACTGCAAGCGCGTGTCGGACAACGGCGTCTTCGGCCTCGTCTCCGGCTGCCGGCGGCTCACGTCGCTCAACCTGCTCGAGTGCGGCGAGATCACGGACGAGGCGGGCTGCGCCATCGCCCGGGGCTTCCCCGCGCTTCAGGTGCTGTCCCTGGCCTGCTGCGCGCGCGTCACGGACCGCACGATCAGCGCGATCGCGTCCGCGTCCGGCGAGCTCCGGTCGCTGAACCTCTCCTTCTGCGAGAGCGTGTCCGGCCGCGCCGTCGCCGAGGTCGCCGCGTCCTGCGCGGCCCTGAGCGAGCTCCTCCTCACGGGCTGCGCCATCAACGACGCGGACGTCGCGAACATCGTCGGCGACTACTCGAAGCTCCACACGTTCATTTTGGCGGGCTGCCCCATCACGGACGCGTCCCTCACGACGATCGCGTCCTGCCCCTGGCTCTTCTCCCTGTCGCTCGTCGGCTGCCCCAACGTGAGCAACGACGCCGTCACGACGCTGCGCAACGAGTGCAAGGGGCTCCAGGTCCTCCGATGATGAGCACAGGTGCATTTTAATTTAGAGGTACGCGACCGCGCTTCGCAGGAACGCGAAGGCCCAGTGGCCCCGGTCGTGGGCCTCGGCGACGAGTCGGCCGAGCGCGCCGGCGTCGGGACGCGGCGCCGCGCGGCCGCGGCGACACAGCGCAGCCAGGCAGAGCACGTGGCCCACCGCGGACCAGCGGTCGAGGTCCCGAGTCATGCGCACGAGGGGCGGGCGGTCCTGGCTCCGCAGCCGCCGGAAGCCCAGGGACGCGCATACGTCGGCGAAGGCCGGCGGCACGTCGCTGCGGACCCGCGTCGCGGCCGTCTCGCGCCGCAGCCGGCGGAGCAGCTCGCCGACGACCGCGCGGAGCGGCCCCGCCGCGGCGCCCGCGCGGAAGTGCACGCCCGCGTCCGCCGTCCGCGACCGCGCGCCGAGCTCCGCGGTGCAGACGCCGAGGTAACCGCCGTCGCCGGCCCGCGCGAAGAGCGCGACGCGCCGGCTCCCTTGAGCGCTCAGCCGCGTCACGAGCTTGCGCCGCTTCCGCAGGCGCCACTCCTCGTCGTCGACGCGCCGCGGCCGCGCGCCCATGAGCTTGTTGAGTGCGTCGTCGTCGGCACTATAAGCTCCCAGGACGTCGTCGGCCAGCCGGCCGCCGCCGGCCTCGAGCGCCGCGCGGATGCGCTTCGCGCCGCGCACGACTTCGATCGTCGCGCCGCTTGGCAGCGACGGCGACGGCGGCAGCGCGAAGGAGGCGCCCATTGGTTCTCAGGTGGCAGCTCAGTTGGCAGCTCTCAGATGGCAGCTAATTTGATGGTTCTCGTTCCAGGCTCAGGCCATGCCGATTGGGCCCTGCCTCAGCGCTTTGCTTGAAGATCAAGTCGCCTGAGGCGAGCCGCTCGTTAGCCCGGGCCGCTCGTTCCTTACTCGTTCCATGCGAGCGCAAGGCCGGCGCGATCCTCGAGGCGGGAAGTGAAAGCATCAGTACACAAAGGTTACGTCCTGCCCTTGCCCTGGACCGCGGCCGCGGGCGCGCCGGGCGCGAGGAGCGCGCTGAAGACGGCGAACTCCGCGCCCTCGTCGCGCACGACCTCGGCGATCTTCAGGAGCGCGGCCTGGCGCCGCTCGCGGAGCGCGAGGCCGCTCGATCCCTTGAAGTGGACCTCGACCTCGATCTCGACGTCCGTCTCGCGGAGGGCCTTGACGAAGATGTAGAAGCGGCGCGCCGGGTCGACGCCGTCGACGGCCCGGAGCTCCGCGCGGAGCCGGTCGCAGATGGCCTCGGCCCGGGGCAGGTCCTCGTAGCGGATCCGGAAGGCCTGCTTCATGTAGCGGTGCTTGCGCTGCGACAGGTTCGAGACCTTGTTCGAGAGGAACTTGGAGTTGGGCACGGTCTGGAACTGGTCGTCGTCGCCGCGGACGAGGCACTGGTACCAGCCGATCTGCTCCACGACGGCCTTGTCGAGCGACGTCATCTGGATCTTGTCGCCGGGCACGAAGGGCCGCGTGAGCACGAGGAGCGCGCCGCCGACCCAGTTCGACACCAGATCCTTCGTCGCGAAGCCCAGCGCGATGCCGCTGATGCCCGCGAAGGAGACGATGGAGCCCAGCGTGAGGCCGATGTTGAAGCGCAGCACCTCGAAGCAGACCGCGCAGCAGACGAACCAGACGGCGACGCCCGAGCCGCGCTTGACGACGAACGCGCTCGCGCGGCCCCGGACCTTGCCGAGCACGCGGCGCTCGAGGAACCGGTCCTTGAGCGACGTCAGGAGCGTGCCGCCGGCGAGCGTGTAGCCCGCGCCGGCGACGAGCTGCGGCAGGCGCCACGGCGGCGCCAGGTCCGCGAGCGACGCGAGCACGTAGGCGACGTCCATCGCGTAGAGCGCCGCGAGCACGACGCCGAACGCGCGGAGGCCCGGCTGCAGCGCCGCGAAGATCGACGCGTCGAAGGGCTCGTCCGCGCGGTTCCGGCGCCGGTGCAGGAACCGGAGCGCCGGGTCGAGGAGCAGGTTGAACGCGACGATGACCACGAGGTCGTCGAACTGGATCGCGCGCTGCGCCTCGCGGAGGAGCACCATCTTGTCCAGCGACGCGACGCGGCGCATCTCGGCGAAGCCGCGGGCCAGGAAGCCGACGATGTTGATGTTCTCGAAGACGACCTCGCTGCCCGGCGCCGCGACGCCTCGCGCGTGGCGGCGCGTGAGCGCGCGCGGTCCACGAGGCCCCGGCCCGCGGCCAGGCTCACGAGCCCCTGTTTTGTGCGCTGTTCTCGGAAGCGCTGGGAGAAACGCCGCGCTGTGGTGCACGGCCACGGCGAGGAGCACGGCCAAGGCTCGGCCTCGCACAGAAACCATCGGCGCGTGCGTTCGAGAAGCCATGCGATAGGCCTTAAGGTAAGCTGCACTGCAACATCAACTCATTGCAGCCCACGACATCGACGATGTACATGCGTGATCACGGAGGAATGCGCAGCCCTTTTGCGATGAGGCAGCCCATGACATCGATGATGTACAATCCGTGATCACGAGGGAACGCGCGGCCCTGTTGCGATGATGCAAGATTTTTAACAATGGCGCGGACGCATCTCTTGCTCGCGCTGCTGCCCTGCGTCGCGAGCATCCTGGCGACTCCCAGCGCCAACCGGTCCCGCCGGGTCTTCGTCAACCGGTCGAGCGCCGACCTGCGGCGCCCGAACCGCTCGAGCGCCCTCGCCGGCGCCCTGCTGCAGCACGCATTGCTGGAGAGCGCCGTCGCCAACCGCTCGCGCGCCGCGAACGCGACGGGCGCGTGCAGCGACCGGGCCTGCGGCCGGCGGTGCGCCGTCGTCACGAAGAAGAGCGGCCGCTTCGGCGTGCACTGCAGCGACGACCCGACCTGCAACGCGACGGCGGCCTGCGCGGCCTCCCGGGACGGGGACGCGCGGCGCGAGGCCGCGCGGGCGCGGGCCTTCAACGCGACGACGAGCTGCCGCTACGAGGCCGGGAAGACGAAGCCGCGCCGCGCGCTCGAGGCCAAGAGCGCGTGCTGCTGCTGGCCGCGCGTCTTCGTGCTCGGCGCGCACAAGAGCGGCACGACGGCGCTCTTCGCCTTCCTCGTCAAGCACCGGACGCAGATGGTGTCGCCCGGGCCCAAGGAGAACAACAAGATCTGCGACGTCGCGGCGTCGCGGCCCGACGCGATCCGGAGCTACGAGCGCGGCGTCGGCAACAACCTCGCGCTCCGCGTCGCGGACCGGGGCAACGCGGAAAACCTGCCCATGTACACCGTCGAGGCGACGCCGTCGAACACGTTCTGCCGCGGGCCCGAGGGCCTGTCGGCGCGGGTCGGCCTCGTCGAGGCGCGCTACCGGCCCCGGGTCATCTTCGTGCACCGCGACCCCGTCGACCGCGCCTGGTCCGACTTCCGCTACTTCTCGACCTTCAACGACCTCAACGGCGCCCACGCCTGCTACCCGACGGTGGCGCTCTTCGCGGCGTCCGTGGAGAACCAGACCGCGGCGCTCGAGGCGTGCGCGCCCTACTACGACGGGACCGCGGACCTCTCGAAGGCCGCGGCGGCGGCGTGCGACGCCGAGCTCAAGCACCAGCTCCAGGCGAAGCTGCCCTATTTACCGTGCACGCACCTCGTGCGCCTCGTGCCGGGCTTCAGCGCCTACTTCGAGCGGCGCTGGCGCGCCGCGGTGCCGGACGACCGCTTCCTGTCCGTGAGCATGGACGACATGCTCGGCGACGCGCAATTCGGGAGGCGCGTCTGGAGCTTCCTCGGCCTCGAGCTGAGCTACGCGCCCCGCTTCGCCCGCGGGCCGCCCACGGGCCCCGTGCCAAGGAAGGACCCAAAAGTCGGCGGCGGCAACAAGAACCTCACGTTTGACTTCGACGGCGTCGCCATGCCCGCGGAAACGCGACGCCGCCTCGCGCGCTTCTACGCGACCTTCGACACGTCGGTCTTCGACGCCGTAATTTAGTCGAAGGGCACGTCGTACCGCTGGAGCGCGCAGCCCGCGCACCACGTCGAGTTCCGCGCGACGTCGTCGAAGACGCTCAGGTGGCCGTTGCCCTGCTCCGTCTCCGCGCGGCGCAGCGCGACGGACGCGACGCGACGGTCCCAGTCGACGTCCACGGTGCCGAAGTGGTTCACGTGGACCATGGGCCCGAGCCGGTGCGGCCCCGGCTCGTCCTCGTCCTCGCACTCCACGGCCCGCGGGTCGCGGTCGCAGGGCGTCGTGTGCGTGAAGGAGCTCGCCGTGAACTCGCGGAACCCGTCGAGCGTGCGGTAGGCGCCGCCCTTGTGCCGATCGCCCGACAGGCCGATCACCGCGCCGCCGCGCCGCGCGGCGAGGACGGCGTAGAGCCTCTCGCGCTCCCGGGGGATCATGCGCCAGCACTCGAAGGCGTGGCCGTCGGCGACGATCTGGATCGACGACACGAGCAGCCGGAGCGCCGCGGGCTCGCGGAGCCGGTCTTCCAACCACTGCCACTGGAGGTCGCCGAGCATGAACCCGTCGGGTCGCGGCGCGTAGGGCCCCGTCGCGTTCGTCGCGTTCGAATCCAACGAGAAGTCGGACCGGAAGGACCGCGTGTCGAGGATGACGATCTGGACGCGCCGGTCGCCCGCGCCGAACGCGTAGGACGTGTAGGTCCCCGGCCGCGACCGCCGCTCGTCGCGCGGGCCCGCCTCGACGAAGGACAGGAACAGCTCCTTGGCGTGCGCGAGATAGGGGTTCGCCGCGCCGCCGTCGTTGAGCCCGAAGTCGTGGTCGTCCCAGGCGAAGACCATGGGGATGGCCGCCGCGGCGCCGACGAACGAAGGCTTCGTCGTGAGATTCCGGTAGGCGAACGCGAGCTCGGGGCAGCCGGGCGTTTCGCAGTCGCCGTAGACGTTGTCGCCGGCTAAGATGAGCAGATCGGGCCCGTAGCGGTGGACGGCGTCCCAGTAGGGCTGCGGGCCCATCTGGTCCGCGCACGAGCCCCAGGCGAATTTCGTCAGCGTCGCGTCGCGCCGCGGGAGCGCGGCGCGCCGCGGCGCCGCCGTCGTCGCGCACGAGTGGGTGGTGCGATCACTGTGGACGAAGAAGGCGCCGAGCGCGGCCATCGTCGCGGCCCATAAGACCGTCGCCCAGACGCAATAGAAGCGGGCGCCGCGGTGCCGCTTGAGCCGCTCCTCGTGCTTGTCGAGGAACGCGTCGACCTCGCGGTTGAACGACGACACGCCGGGCGTGTTGGGCGTCAACGGGCTCATTGGCCGGCCGCGCGGCGAGGACGGCGGCGTGAGCCGCACGTCGCCGAGCTCGATCTTGTGCGTCGCCAGCGGCGTGTGCGTGGTCTCGTCCGACGGCCGCTGCGCGTCGCTCATGGTCGCTGCGCGTAGTGCTACGGCTGGATTCGTCGCGTCGCTGCGCGTAGTGCTACGGCTGGATTCGTCGCAGGCGGTGACGGCTGGACGTCGCGTCCTGCCTGCTACGGCTGGCTTTCTTTTTGGCCCATGCCTCGACGAAAAGTTCACAATAAACAAGTTGCACTTTCGAGCCCAGAAACTCGAGCTGTCCACCATCGTGCCCACCAAGCATGCTGCCCGGCGAGTACCGCGTCAAGGCGCCCGGCGCGCTCGTGCGCGCCGGCATCGAGCAGTCGTCGGCGCGCGTGACGGAGCTCGCGACGGATGCGGCGCTCGTCGTCGAGGAGGTGAAGCTCAACGGCCGCGGCGTGGCGCGCGCGCGCGTCAGCCAGCCCGTGGAGGGCTGGCTGAGCTGCAAGTGCGTCGTCGGCGGCGAGATGCTCGCGGCCGCGGCGCCTCCCGCGCCCGCGCCGCCGCCGCCGCCGAAGGCGCCGGCGCCGCCGCCGCGACCGCGACCGCCGCCGGAGGCGCGCGCCGCGCCGCCGGCGCCCGTGGCGACGGAGGTGTCGTCGGACGCGGGCGTCGTGTCCATCGGCGGCGTGTCCCTCTCCGTGGCGCGCGACTTTGACGCGGCGCTCGTGCCCGCGCCGCCGCCGCTGCGCGGCTGCGGCTTCGAGTTCTCGCGCGAGGCCGCGGCGACGCTGCAGTGGATGCTCCGCAAGGCGGCGCTGAGGCAGGACATGTTCCTCCTCGGCGACGCGGGCCCCCGCTGCCGCCAGCTCGCCCTCGCCTTCTGCGAGCTCGCGCGGCGCGAGGCCGAGTTCGTGTCCCTCACGCGCGACAGCAACGAGAGCGACCTGAAGCAGCGCCGCGAGCTCCGGGGCGGCGACCTCGCCTGGGCGGACCAGCCGCCCGTCGCCGCGGCGAAGCGCGGCCGCGTGCTCATCCTCGAGGGCGTCGAGAAGGCGGAGCGCAACGTGTTGCCGCTGCTGAACAATTTGCTGGAGAACCGCGAGATGGCGCTCGAGGACGGCACGTTCCTGACGCCGCGCGCGAATGCCGGCGACGCGCGGCTCGCGCGCGTCCACGACGACTTCCTCGTCGTCGCCATCGGGCGGCCGGCGGCGCGCTACGCGCGGCGGAAGGACGACGACGCCGTCGCGCCGCTGGCTGTGTGGAAATCAACCACTGGTTTCGGTGGTCCTGACCAAACTTGAGAATTCTCTAGCTCGGTCAAATCGAAGTCGATTCGGCTGATTTTTGGACGAATCGATTGCTCTCGTCGAGTTCTCGAAGCACAGGAGAGAGTCTCGCGTCGAAACTGTCGCATACGCTCACATTGAAGTCGGGTTGAAGATTTGGTTTCCACACAGGCCGCTCGACCCGCCGCTGCGGAGCCGCTTCGTGTCGCGGCGCGTCGGCGGGCTGGCGCCGTCGGAGGACGCGGCGTGCCTCGCGGCGCTCGGCGTGGACGACGGCCCCACGCGGGACGCGCTCGCCAGGTTCTGCGCCGGCGCGCGCGCGCTCTCGGACGCGTCCGCGGCGGAGGACGGCGCCGTCGCGGCGCCGCGGTTCCCCGAGGGCGGCGGCCTCTCGGTCGGCGCGCTTCTCGTCGCGTTCCCCGGCGCGCCCTTCTACGGCTTCGCGGGCCGCGCCTTCCCCGCCGCGGCGCTGGCCCTCGACAAGGCCGCGGAGAAGGCGCTCCGCGATCTCGGCGGCGCGGTCGAGGCCGCGCGCGCGCGCGCGGCGGGCGCCGCGCGCCGCGACTACGCGCTCGTCGGGGCCAGCAAGACGTCGCGGCGCGCGTGCCGGCTCGTCTTCCGCGCGGGCGCCGACGAGGTCGTCCTGGAGACGGCCTGCGGGCCCGGCGCCGTCGCGGCCGCCGCGGCCGCCGACGCCGCCGACGCCGGCGCGGCCGCGGACGACGACGGCGTCGACGCGCTGAGCGTCAAGGAGCTCAAGCGGCGCCTCGACGCCGCGGGCGCGCGCTACGCCGACTGCCGCGAGAAGGCCGAGCTCCGCGCGCGGCTCCGGTCCGCGTCCGGCGCCGCGCCGGCGGCCGGCGACGCGCGGACCGCGGGCGCGGCGCCCGCGGCGCCGGCGACGTGCCCGGACCTGCCGCTGACGCCGTCGCAGCGCGTCGCGGTGACGGCCGTCGTCCAGGACTTGGCGTGCTGCCGGGGCGTGGGCGCCTGCGTCGTCGGCGAGCGCGGCTGCGGCAAGTCGGCGATTTTGCGGGCGGCCTGCGCGGCGCTCGGCTACGGGCCCGGCCGCGCGCGCTACGTCTTCTGCCACCGCGAGCTCAGCGCGCGGGAGCTGCTCCAGCGCCGGGGCGCGGAGAAGGGCCGGACGTCGTGGCGCGACGGCGCCGTCGTCGCGGCGGCGATCCGGGGGGACGTCGCGGTGCTCGACGGCGTCCACCGCCTCGCGCCGGGCGTCCTCGCGGGCAGCCTCGGGCGGCTCATCTGCGACGGCGAGGCCCAGCTCCCGGACGGCCGGCGCCTCGTGCGCGCGGACGACTGGGACCGGCTCGCGGCCGCGTTCTCCGCCGAGGAGCTCGAGGCCAAGGGGCTGGTGAAGGTGCGGCGCGGGTTCCGCGTCGTCGCCGCGGCGGAGCCGCCGCCGTGCTTCGACGCCGCGGCGCTCGCCGGGCGGCCGAAGGGGCCCGCGGCGCGCCGGGGCAGCGGGTGGCTCACGGACGAGGTGCTGGGCCTCTTCCACTTCCACGTCGTCGCCGCGGTCGCCGGCGACGAGGCGCGGACGCTGCTCGAGGCCGCGGCGCCGCGCCACGGCGGCTCCGACGCGGGCCGCCGCGCGTGCGGCGCCGTCGTGCGCTTCGGCGAATTGCTGGCGCGCGCGGACGACGAGCACCTCCGGGGGCTCCGCGTGTCCGCGCGGCAGCTCGCGCGGCTCGGCAAGCGGCTCGACGCGGCGGCGACCCTCGACGGCGCCGCGGCGAAGCGCGCCATCGACGGCGCCTTCGCCGCGCGCCTGCGCTTCGCGCCCCGCGACGCGCGCGCGGCCGCCGACGGCCTCGCGGACCGCGCGCTCCGCGAGCACGGGTTGCGGGGCGCGGGCGCGGCGGCCGCGGCGCCGCGGCAAGGAGCTCGAGGACGCGGCGATCCACGTGTCGCGCCGGCGCGGCGCGCCTCCGCGGAGCGCGCGCGACGCTCCGACCCCTCGCAGGCGCGGACGGCGGCCATGTACGGCGACGCGCGCGGCGCCGCCGACGCCGGCGCGCGCGTGGACCGGGCCGTCGAGGACCGGCGGCGCCGCGGCGCCGCGGACGCGCGCGACGAGCGCGGCGCGGCCCGCGCCGAGGGCCTCCGGGTCCTGCGCGCCGCGAGCGCCGCGGAGCCCCGGCGCGGCGACGCCGCGGCCGTCGTCGGCGGCGCCCTGCGCGTGACCTCGTCCCTGCGGAGCGGCGGGCCCGTCGACGTCGCGCGGCGATCCGCGGCGGACGCGTCGCTCGTGCCGCGCGTCGCCGACTTCTACCCGACGCCGGAGCACGTCGGCGTGCTCCACGACATGGCCCGCGACTGGAACGTGCCGCGGGAGCCCCTGCTCCTCGTCGGGAACCAGGGCGTGGGCAAGAACATGCTCGTCGACCGCTTTCTGGAGCTGCTCGACGCGGAGCGCGCGCCGGCGCCTTCCCGGGGGGAGAATTGTCGATCGTCGCGCGCCTTCACAGGCGCGAGTACGTCCAGCTGCACCGCGACACGACCGTCGCGTCGCTCACGGCGGCCCTGGACCTGAGCGACGGCGCGCTCACGGCGCGCGACACGCCCCTCGTCCGCGCGGCGCGCCTCGGCCGCGTCCTCGTCGTCGACGAGGCGGACAAGGCGCCGCTGGAGGTCGTCTGCGTGCTCAAGGCCCTCGCCGAGGACGGCGAGCTCGCGCTGGCCGACGGCCGCACGCTGTCGCGCGCGCGCGGCGCGGCGGCGGCCGGCGGCGACGTCGACGGGTCGTCGACGGACGACGACGACGACGACGTCGCGCGTCGGCGTCCCGTTTTTGCGCCTAGTGAACGGGCGGCGCAGGTCGTCTTCGTGCACGACGACTTCCGGCTCATCGTGCTCGCGAACCGGCCGGGCTTCCCCTTCCTCGGCAACGACTTCTACCGCGAGTGCGGCGACGTCTTCGCGTGCCACGCGGTCGAGTCCCGTGTGGAAAGCAAATCTTCAACCCGAATTCAAGGAGAGTTCATCGAAAGGATTGGACCAGTCTCGCCAACCGTGCTTTCGGAACTCGACGAGAGCCATCGATTCGTCCAAAAATCAGCCGGATCGACTTCGATTTGACCGAGCTCGAGAATTTTGACGTTTGGCCCCGACGTCCCAGCTCACTGGTTGATTTGCACACAGGTCGAGTCGTGCGCCTACGAGAGCGAGCTGCGGCTGCTGCGCGCGGCGGCGCCGCGCGCGCCGGCGGAGGCGCTCGTCGACGCGTCGCTGCTCTGGCGCGACCTCCGCGGCCTCGTCGACGAGGGGCGGCTGAGCTACCCGTACAGCACGCGCGTCCCCGGCGTCGATGCGCCTCCGCCGTCCGGGGGGGACGCGGCGCTCGTAGGCGCGAGCTCGTCAAGGTCGCCAAGCACCTCGACGCGTACCCGGGCGACGGCCTCGCCGCGGCCTGCGCCGACGTCTTCGCCTTCGACGGCTTCGACGCGCGGCTCGCGACGCTCCTCGCGACGGTGCTCGAGGGCCACGGCGTCGACGCCGACGAGGCCCTCGGCGGCGGCCAGAGCTACGGCGACATGACCCTGAAGCTCCCGGAGGGCTTCAAGACGATCAAGCGGCCGGGCGCGCCCGCGGGCATGCCCAGCGACGGGCCGAAGCACGGCGCCTGGGACGACGAGGCCCACATGGGCGGCAACATGTTCGCCGGCGGCAGCGGCGGCAGCGGCACGGCGGGCCTCGGCGGCCGCGGCGGGCCCTACCGCCTCGACGTCGGCCAGCAGCTCGGCCACATGACGCAGCAGGAGAAGGACGCCGTCGACGACGCGAGCCTCGCGGCGGCCAAGGACATGGCGACGAAGGCCCACGCGAAGAAGCTCGAGGAGCTGGGCTTCGGCCCCGCCGAGGCGTCGGCCTACGAGGCCGCGCGCGACGCCGTGCTCCTGGGCGCCACGGAGCTCCGGGCCGCGCTGCTGGACCGGGAGAAGCGCGACCGGGAGCGCGTCTGGAAGACGCGGCAGACCGTCGGCGAGCTCGACGACAACCTGCTCGTGGACGGCGTCGCCGGCGAACGCGGGGTCTACCGCCGCCGCGTCGCGCCCGACGGCGCCGACGACGACGACGACGCGGACCGGCCCGCGCCGACGTCGAAGCACGGCGAGACGCGGGACCCGATCCGCCTCCGCTTCGTCTTCGACTGCTCGGGCTCCATGTACACCTTCAACCGCATCGACCGGCGCCTCGAGCGCCTCCAGCAGATCGCGCTTTTCGTCTTCGAGGCGCTCGACGGCCTCGACGACGACTACGACTATTCGGTGGTGGCGCACTCGGGCAACGGCCCCGAGGCCGAGCTCTTCGTGCCCTGGGGGCCGGGCGGGAAGCCCAAGAGTCCCAAGGAGCGCTGGGCCGTCTGCCAGCGCATGGCGGCCCACGCCCAGTACTGCTCGCCGGGCGACCACACGCGCGTGCCCGTGTCTGAAATTCTGTGGAATACGATCACAGTCGCGTTTTAGGCTCGACGGCACCGCGGCCGCGATCCGCGACGTCGCCAAGGGCCGCGCCGACGAGCGCTTCGTCTTCCTCATCTCCGACGCGGACCTGAAGCGCTACGGCATCGACGCCGCCAACTGGAACGCCATCATCATGAAGGACCCGAAGGTCCAGGCCTTCGTGCTGCTCATCTCGTCCAACGACGACGAGGCCGCGGAGATCCAGGCCAAGATCCACCCGGGCCGCGCCGTGACCTGCTTCGACACGGCGAACCTCCCGACGGCCTTCAAGGAGATCTTCGCGGCGCGGGTCTTGAAGCTGAGTTAAGAAGCGGGGCTGAGTTAAGAAGTGGGGAGTTAAGAAATGGTGTCAAAGGGACGGCAACATTGGTCAAACACAGCAGCACTACAAACCATCTCCTTCTTTGCCGACCGACATCGTGTCAGAGGCCAGCTCCGCAGCAAGGTGTAGACGCGGATAGCGTCCATCGCCACCCAGCGACACACTACCACCGCAACGGCAGCGCGAGCGCAGGCTCGCCTCCGCGCCAGCGCTCGCGAAAGAACAGCGATGAGCCGCCTCCTGCGCGCCGCGCTGGTGCTGCTCCCGCTGGCCCAGGCCTTCGTCGGCCCGAGCCGCCGCTCGCCGCTGCCGCGCAGCACGCGGCGCGCCCCGGTGCGGTCCGCGCCCGTCGCCGCGCTGCCGGCCTTCGTCGCGCCGATCGCCCAGGGCGCGAGCTTCCTCGCGTCGCCGGACTTCCTCCGGTTCCCCGTCATGTACGGGTTGATGTCCGTGAACGAGTACTTCACGCACCGCTACTACCAGCACGCGGAGTTCAACAACTCGCCCTGGCTCCAGGCCATCGCCCGGGCCGTGCTCAAGCCCTTCGGCAAGCCCGTGCCGCGCACGCGCGGCGGCGGCCACGTGGAGCACCACGCGGAGACGCTCGACGACATGACGCTCAAGACCGACGACCGCTGGCGGGCGACGAAGACGGCGAAGAGCCTCGACGACGACACGTACCGCGGCACGGCCTTCACCTGGCAGGTCACGGGCCTCATGACCGTCCAGATGCTGCCGACGGTGCTGCCCGCGTGGCACCTCATGGGCTACTCGCTCGCGTCGACGTTCGCGTTCCTCCTGCCGGCCATGGCCGCGCACGCGCTCGTCTGGAACGCGCTCCACCCGAACATGCACGCCCTGCCCGACGTGCCCCTGCGCGACGGCTGCCCGTCCTGGGTCCTCGCGCCGCTCCGGAAGACGTGGTTCTTCCGCTTCCTCTACACGAACCACGAGGGCCACCACGTCGTCGGCGGCCGCGGCAACTACAACGTCGCCTGCCCGGGCACGGACCACCTCGTCAGCACCTTCATCAAGGAGAAGGACTGGCGGCCCAAGGTCCGCACGAGCTACGCGTCGCACCACGGCGACGACGTCTCCATCGAGCAGCAGATCAAAAACCACATCGCGCGGGAGAGCTTCGGCGGCGGCCCGGCGCCCGCCATCGCCGTCGTCGACGACACCGCGCCCGTCGCCGTCGCCGCCTGAGGTCGGTCGCGCGTCGCCTAACGCGGATATCATCGTAGATTACGGCGGCCTACTCGCGGTGCATCTCCGGCGCCGCGGGGCCGCCGACGGAGACGGTGCCGCCCTTCTTGTCCTTCTCGATGACGACGCCCATCTGGCGGCGGTACTGCTCCCAGGGCATGGACTGGACCCAGGCCGTGCCCGGCCCCAGGAGCGTCGTGTTGCAGCAGCCCTCGCCGTTGCAGCAGCACGCCAGGCAGGACCCCGCGGTGCGCACGCCCAGAGTGGCGCCGTGCCACGCGACGAGCGAGTTCGAGTCGATGATGAAGAGCTCGCCCGGCGCGAGCTCCTTGCGCTCCACGGTCCCAGACGCCTCGACGAAGGCCGTGCCCGAGCCGGTGATCGTCTGGCGCACGCAGCCAAAGCCCGCGAAGCAGCACGTGAGCGGGTTGCAGTCGACCTCGCAGCCCGGGACGGCGTCGCCGACGGATGACATGTAGGCGCCGGACCTCGCCGAGATCTTCCCGCCGTAGCGGTCCATGTCGAGCGCGACGATATCCGCCGGTTTCGCGGACGTGAGCGCGACGTAGCTCGGCGCGGCGCCGCGGTTCGTGTAGTTGAGCATCGCGCAGGCCTCGCCGCCGAGGCATCGCGACAAGCAGTCGGAGCAGTCGACGTGTGCGTCGATGCTCGAACCCATGAACATCATCGACCCGGGCTCCGTCGCCATGGTCTCCCCCGGCGCGAGACCCACGTTCAGGATGTGCATGCTGTCGCCGATCAGGTCCCAGTTGCCTTGCGTCCCGACATTGTTCTCGCCGGAAATCCGCGTGAAGCCGAGGGACGACCCCTTGGCGCCCTTCTTGGCGGCTTTGGCGGCCATCGCGATGATGCGGCGCGCGCCGCCTTGCAGATGGTCGAGCACAGGATCGGCGACTGCCTGTGGTGAAACGCCTTGAGCCCCCGGATCGGGCCGCCGCGCGACGCCGCCGATCGCGTCGAGCCCCGCCGTCCGCGCGTAAATCTTCATAGATCGACGGCGCCAACCGTCGTCGCGTCCCGCCGTCAGCACAAACCCTCATACAATGGCCCTGGCGATCCCCGTTTCGGTCCGCCAGCTCGGTCTCGATGTCATCGCCACCCACGACACGGCCAAGTACGAAATTGTGGGGACGGACATGCAGATGCTTCGCATACACCTCGATCCCGGCGAGAAGGTGACGGCCGAACCCGGCGCGATGGTTTACGCGCACTCGGCGACCAAGGCCGGGTGCAACGGCGACGACTGCTGCGCGCGGTGCCTCTCCGGCTCGCCGTGCATCATGGGCACGTTCGAGGCGACGGGCCCGGGCGCGTACGTCGGGCTCACGCCCGTGCGGCCGGCGAAGGTCCTGCCCCTGAATCTCAACGGCCGCCGCTTCCTCGGCAAGGACCGCTAGTGAAGTCCGATGCTCAGGTTTTAAACCCAGGTCTTTTGGTCTGATTCCCAGGTTTGATGCTTTTCCAGGTCTTTTTGAGTATGAAACCCAGGTCTTTTGGAGGTCCATTTTTTTATTATCCCCCCTATATAAATTACAGATATGTTTGCCGCTTGACGACAGGATGCCCCAACCCGTTTGTCCGCAGGAGTGCGCATGCGACGTCTGGGCTGCCCCGACGCCGCCAGAACCGCTATCGGGGCCCATCCCGGGCCAAGGAAGTGCACTGGAGCACGCCAGTGAGTTGCGCCGGCGCTGCCCCATCCTTTTGGCGGAGTACATTCGGTCGATCACTGCGGCTGCGGGCTGCGCGCGCGCCCACTCGATTTCGGGATCCCGTCTATTACCGTCACAGTTTCA